TTTTATATATCATTTAGTAGTTCTTGAAATTCTCTATCGAATGGTATATAATAGTTGGGGTTTTAATTGACTATGATAGGAAAAGTCTTTTACGAAAGTCGCGATGGGTCCATTTTTCCACAGCAAGCTATAGGGAAAAATGAGTATTTTTGCAATAACTCAGAAACGGATCGACCGGTCCTTCTCATCTTCGAACTCGACCGAGATATTGTCAAGACTAAGCTGTGTAGAAAATTTCATCGCGATCTGACTCTCCTTTCGAAAGTTATCGTGTAAACGGCCGGCCGGACGGACACGCAGACCGATTTTAGTAGTGTACTCACTTTTTCAGTACACTAAAAATGTGTTATTAAAATCTAAATTTCGATAACTTACGATCTCCATAAACGAACATCAACTTCAATTGAATCAAAAACATTATGTAATAGACGAATATGCATTGAAGAATATTTAAATTCAGATATTGTAAATGGTGGTAATTGATTTGTTTTAAATACTTGACGACTAGATGTTGATCCTAAAAGATAATTAATATTTCTTCAAAATCTTTTTCTCATGTCAATGAGTTCGGCGCCCGAATCTGTGCATTTTTTATGTGGACTGGAATTTTCTACAGGACTAGAATTCATTGAATCGGACATTTCCAGAAGTAGGAACTCGGTGAAACGATGCTGTTTCCGGCTGGACAAATCCGATCATCAGATCTGATCGCCAAATACCTGTTTTCAAGTTACTAGCATTTTTTCGAAGTTATCCCAATGGAAACGATTGTACTTCATTCACCTGGGTTAGAACGGATTATGCTTAATATCTTCAAATTCGAATTCTTTTCGTCATAGCTTAATATAAAAATTCTTAGTCAAATAGTGACAATTAAGAATATGTTCTAATCGACTGATTAAATAATATAGATCGATAATAAATATTTGATTTATTTCAAGTCTGCTAAACTTCTGAATCGAGTATGGTTATAACTCGTAAAGAAAACAAATGTTTCAAATTTGCATTTCAACTTACTAGTGGGTGTTGAAGCGGCTTGTTCATCGATTGGAGTTTGTGAACCACTAAGTGTTGTTGGAGAAACTGGTGGTTTGAGCTGAATATTTCATAAATACAATTAACAATTGATTGTTAAATATAGAGAACAAAAAAACTTACTTCATTTTCATCATCATCTTTCATACTTTCAACGATTTTATTAACTTTTCGATAATAATCTTCTTTAGTTATCTAAGAAATAGAAAAAAAAAAGCATAATCATAATAACATAAATAAAGTTTTCAATTTACTCGTCCATGTAAAATTGAAAGTGTATCAATCCATACACGCCATCCACCATATTCATATTTAATAGCATGATGTAATAAAATTTTTAATAAATCAAAAACTCGATCAGTTATTTCGACTTGTATTTCTTGTGCTGGATAAACATAAGCGAGACCAAATAAATAATCTTGCCAAACAGACATTTGTAAAATAGTTCTTAACAAAAAAAAATAATAAATTCAATCAAAAAAATAAATAAATATCTACTTATATATTTTCTATTACCTTCTATTTTCTCGACTGGCAGATGCAAGTAAAATTAAATCATCAAGAAAACGTAATTTTATATCATATAAATGAATATTATCAGCTGCATGTCGAAGTAATGTAGCAATTACTTTGATCATAGCTAAAATAATTTGTATGAAATTCGATTCAAATCAATCTTCTATAATACAATCAACGTTTCAGAACAAACATGAATATCTCTCTACTCATCAAAAAGATTAACTTTTATATTAAATGAAATCAATAATCATGTAACTGTAAAAAATCGCTGACGAGAAAAACTGCCGATGATATATTCTCTTCCGATTTCAATGACTTTTTCATATAGTGTTCTAATAAACATCCCAAAAAGGATTTGGACTCCTATTGAAGTTTGTCTAATCTATCGAGTTTCTATCTAAAACTTTGTACATATATAAAACCCATAAAAAAATCCAAAAGTTTTGAACAAAGCCTCTTCGGGATATGAAGTATGTTGTATATACACTATTCATGGAAAAGAGTTTATATCTTGAAAGTCTCATATCTCGAAGAGATTTTGTTCAAAACTTTTGAATTTCTTATGAAAGCTAGTCTAGTTGAAATCTCTATATGTGCAAATTTTCAGATTGAAACTCGAATCTCAATAGGTAGAGCTTTTATAAGAACAAAATGTACAGAAAATCATTGAAATCGAAAGGGAACATCTGATGAGTTTCCTACGTTCGTCGAATTTGGATTATAGGAATTAATAGAATATTATTAGATACTTTTTTATGTGCAGTTCAAATTTCTGTGTAAAATAATTTACCTGGATTTTCAATTTTCCAATCTGCTGTAATTTCTGAACTTCGTTTTTCAACAACTAATCCGCTTACTTTTTCCACAAGTATCTATTCATAATTAAAAAGAAATATTGAGATTCTTGATTAAGTTTTGTATCTTACTTCAAATAGAACATTATAAGTAGCCATGGTAAAACTATTTGGATGAAGTAAAAGTCTATCAGCCAATAATGAAAATAGATTATGTGGTTGCATTGCATCAGTTTTTCGTCTTTAAATATTAAAAATAAAGATTTTTACGAAATATAACAAGTTATCAAAAAAAAATTTTTTTTTCTGCATACTTTACTGTACTTCGTTGAAGAAAGAATCCTAGTAATTTCAAAGCTTGTAAACGTGTCATTTCACTACTACTTGCTAATAATTTAAAAACCGTTCTATAAAAAGAAAAAGAAAAACAGTTTTTTTTAAAAATTCAATTCTAATCTTACCTTAATCCTAGTCGACGATCAAATGCAGGTATCATTGTTCTTGGATGTTCTGACAGAAGATTTACAGTCATATCCAATATATCAATAAGATTATCATCCTTAAAAAAAGAATACATTTTCTAAATAAAAATTCACACACGTTAATCGTTTCTTACTTCATGAACTGTATGAAGATAATTAAGAATGCCTTGAAGTTCTTCTTCTTGAGTACCCGAACTACTTATAACAAGTTGTTTTAAATAGAGTAACATATAACGTCTCATTTCAATAATTTGTTCACGTGTTGGTCGATTTCCATCTAGAATTTACGATTAAATTTGATTTTATACGAAGAAATTTTCATTTACCTGAACCTTTTGGTTTAAAACCACTTCGATGACTTGGATCAACAATCCAATAGAAATATTTTAATGTATGTAATGTTTGAATTATTTCACTTATTGGTTGAATTAAATGATAGATTTCCGAATAAGTAACAAATTCTGTTGCTAAATATGTATATAAACGCATTTGAACCTAGAAAATAAATTTATTTATATATTCCAATATTTTTAATACCAATAAAAATAAAAAAACACAATACATCAACTGAACAATAAATCCACATAACAGGATTAAAAAATATATGAACAAATAATTGTTTTAATAATAATGGACTATTTTTGCTTTCAATTTTAACAAAAAATGTTGTTAATGATATAAGAGAATTGAGTACATCCATGTTAATATGTTGTTTGGATGCCTAAAAATAAAAAGAATAAAATTGTCGTCAGAAAAATATTTCTTTGGAAGTTAGAGTCGAATTTCTTGATTGATTGACGACGGAATCTCGCAAAATGATAAATTATTTTTGACATGAATCATAATTTAGTAGATTAGTCCCACTGACGACGGAACATTTCTAGATGTTGAGCTATGAAAAGTCTTCAACGCGTTTGTGCCTATGAATATTTCTTGCCGAATTCCTTGATCTATGGTCATTTCAGTGAGTTTGGTTGTCTTGGAAATTGAATCTTGCATAAATTAACTTTCCAATGAGATTAGTTCATTTTGAAAGTTTCAAATATCAATATTGAAAATGCTACTCTCACACAAAAAAGTCTAGTTTTGTTTTTATCATGATACCGCATGGTAGGCAATATTAGAAAGTTTGATTACTGTTTGGTTTTCTATTCTCTCAAAATAGTACACTTAATGAGATCAGGTTTAATTTTCATTGGGAGAAAGTTTCCTAGTTTTTTTAAATGAATATCATGATAATAGAACAACTGATTTTTGAATGCCACGTTGAAATTTTCCATAGAGAGAGACTTAGTTTTTTTGTGAATGTTTCAGACCTTATCGTCCTTCTAATTTCAAGATACAACTATAATAGCAATATGACTTTTATGTTGCTTATATAAACCGATAGCTTCGGTGTTCTTATTTCAGGATAGAAGCACATCAAAACACCTGAAAACTTTTCTTGTTAAGATCTGTGTCTATACAAAATGTCAAGATGAAGTTCGAAAATTAGTTTTTATGCTATCACGACATTTATTTAACAAACATTGTAAAAGTGAAGTATCTCCGTAGCGATAAGTTAAGAGTACAAGTTCTTTTTAGGATATTCATAGCTCATTTGAGTCTACATAATGAACATAGTCTCGACTCAAAAGTGATTGATTACTTGAAGGATTTCCTTCGTGCGTGCTGAAAATTAAACTCTTCATTTGAAAATATTTTAATTTTTTCATTTATAATGATATTTAATAAGGAGTGGAGAAAAAAAAAGTACTATTTCACGGATATATCACTGGTTCTTTACTCCGTATATGAAATTGTCCTTGAAGGTTTGCTCTCTCTCTCTCTCTTGTTTTATCTTCAATACAACTATCATCATTATTTATCTTTGTCTTTTGCCATAGAATCAATATTTAGAACTATTCTTGTCTGCATATTATATTATACATATACATAGGTTTTTTCGTCTTTATTTTAAATAAATTTAAATTCATACCTTTTCAAGATGATATCCAATAGTAAGAAAACCTTTTGAATTAAGCATTTGATGTTGAATTGTATATGATCGTTCAATTAATTCACATAAAGTTGATAGAAGTATTGAACAAACATTATAATTAATTGAATCATCAATTTGTTGATGATCTAATTGTCCAAATAAAGGAAAAAATACTTGTATACCACCAACACTATGTAATGTTGAATAAATTGAATATGTTATTACAGATCGAACATTACTTAACATTTGTGCATGTGCTGTATGAACAAAATATGAAACATTTGTTTTTGGTGCAGCTTGTAAAACAAGTTGTTCTTCACATGCAATAGGATTATAATTAAATACAATTGAATTCATTAATTTTCCATCATACATTGCTTTTCTTTGTGCTTCAAATAAAACATGTGCACTTTCATTTTCAAATTTAAATTGATTTTTATATGCTGGTCCTAATTTATATAAACCTTGAACAATTAATGGTTCTAAATATATACTAAATAAATAAAATGTTGATAATTGACCAGAAAAACTTGTTATATCATGACGATCAGGTGTACAACCTATATAACATTTATCAAATAAATCACCACTTTCAATACTCCATGGAAAATGTGTATTTGATACAATTTGACCATTTATATAACAATGTATACTACTTTTACCCCATCGTTGATATTGATGTGCAAATGTTATCATATACCACTAAAAAGCAAAATATTATCGATGATTTTTATTGTTAAGAAAATCTGATAATAAAATGTCAAAAATACGAATTTGTATTCAAAGATTTTGACCATAAGAATTTCACTTTCGCACGAAATGAATATCAGATTCAAAACTCGTTTTCGTCATATTTCGATCATTACATATGCTCGCTGTTATTTTCGAATACGCTGACTTGTACTACCTTCAAGGTCAAAATTTGACGACTAATAGTTTTGCGTATATACTATTCGATGCAAATTTTTGCACTGATTAGAAATATGATATTTGTCTCTTTTGGAACAAAAGTTTTGATAATTGAAATTTTTGAATACAAAAAATAATATTATTTTTTCATAATCATATGAAGAGTAAACTACATTGTGATCTATCATTAGTCTATATAATTCGAATTATTTAATAGTAATTAGAGATAATAAAAAAAATGTATATATGATCATTAAAAAGTTGTATGCAACAATAATGAACTTCTTAAAAGGTATATATACTGTTAAAATGAACAAGATTAAAAATTCAAGAACATTTTTTTTATAATGAATCTTAAATTCTATCCAATTTCGAGTAGAATTTTGATCGTATTCGATTCTAGTTTTACATATAATCAAACATAAAATGTAAGATGAAGTTCTCCTAGAGAATAATTAGCTATTCAAACAGAACTTTTACTATTAAAATCTTAAAGTTAATCATTGAAATCACGTACCTCGCGTGGTTTAAATTCATATTGAATGCAATGTTGAAAAGTTTTTTCTTTTAATTTCGAATATGATATAACTAAACAATTACCAACAAAATGTGCTGTATAACCATGACCTTTTGATGTACAAAACCAATATAAATAAGGTTTTTCTTTTTCAATAACACCATTAGCAACAGGATCAATACGAAACCATGTTGTTATTGTAAAACCATTTTGATATGGCCAAATTTTAATTGGTGGTAAAACAATACCCGAACCATTTCGACCAGGAAAATTAAAAAATTCATCAGGACCATGTCGATATGGAAGATTTTTAAAAATATTTAATAATTTAACGGCATGTTTTTTCTAAAATTATAACTTTTCAAGCAAAAAAAAAAGAAATATAAACATTTTTTTCATACCCATATTCGATTTTCTGTTTTAAGATAATGTAAAAGAAGTTTAAGTTCATTAACATTAATTGTTAGTGTTGTTAAAACTGTAAGAATATCAACTAATAAATCAGCAACAACATCATCATCAATTATATTTAATAGTCCTAAAGCTTTTTCATATATTTGTGCATCAATTGCTGCTAATAAATTACGTTCACTTTTACGCATTATACCAATTAATACACTAAGAATTTCAGCTTGTAATGATGATGACATTTTATTAAATATAGAAAATAATTCATGTAAATTTTTTGGTTTTTGTATTATATAATTTTTATCTAAATCAAAATCACCTTCGACAAGCTAAAAAATAAAATTAATTTGAAAAAAAAAAACATGATAATCTATAGAAAATTTATAATCTTACTGTATTTAATATTGTCAAGGATGCTTCTTTATTCGATTTATCAGCTATTGTTTGTAAAAGTTGATGAGTATTATCATGTTGACTTAATGATTCCGATTGAACTGTATCATCAATTGTATTATTATCTTGTTCATATACGGGTAATACTAATGAATTCTCTTCAGATATAGGTAATGCTGATGAATTCTCTTCGGATATAGTTGCTGCTGTTGAATCATCGTCTTTTTCATTGCTAACATCAATAGATGGAGTTTCCGATGGGAATTCATTATTATTCGATGTTAAAAGTGGTGGTTCAATTTCTTGTTTATCATCAACAGATGACTCTTGAATTATTTTTTCTTCTTGTTCATTTTCAGATGATGGTGGTTGATTAATTTCTTGTGATACGTCATTGTTATCTTGATTGACTTCGTCATTGGAATGAACATCATTATTATCTTTGATTTCAGTGCTCATTGCAAAATCTGAAATAAATAAATAAACTGCAAGTCGACAAGTACCTTTATCTATTTATAGGTGATTGAGTATCGATAAAGAAGCTATCATTTTGATTCAGAATAATAGAGCTACTTGTTATTTTTTTCCTCTTCTATGTTCTTCGTTTCTATTGATGCATTCTTTTCTTCTTCTTTTTTTTTTTCGTTCGCTTTCTTTTTTCTATAAGTATAAACATACCCAACCCGTCGATTACTCAGTACAGTAGTATACTGCGAAGCGAAGGGACACGTCGCGTCGTAGAAATATAAAATTATTGATTGACAAATTTTTATCTACCAATTGCATTTATTCACGAACCTCTCGATATAAGAATAATTGACAATGAGTGACATCTGTCGACGGAAAACATATAAAAGACATTGAACATTTTCTGAATATGATTAATGTTTGTTGATTCTATACATTGATGATTCGGAGTTGTAGTATTGACATCAGTTAAATTTAAACGATTATTGCAATGCATATTCAACAATTATAGATTTGAAAACTTTGCATGTTATTGAAAAATTGAAGAATTTTCAATGAAATTACTTACATAGTTAGTTTCGACCGTATTGCTTATATGCAAATGATAATATGACATGATAATTTGTCTTTTTAATTCAGGAACTAGACTAAAAGAAATCTAGGGACGAAGATGAGATCAATTCAGTAATTCTTTTGTAATATTTGAACAAGAAAAATGGAAGGACCGAGTATTTGGGTGAATTATACAATTGAATTTGATGTCCAACACAACTCTTCAAAATGTAAAACAATTGTATTTTCATATGTCACTGTTGCGACCATGGTATTCTGTTTTTCTTTCCTAACTATTCTTATTACAAGATCTATGTTTGCCAACATTTTGATAATCATCGGTATACTATTAATGACCGATCCATTGAGCGCATTTAGTACTTTGTTGTAAAATCGCATCCAACAGACTTTCAAATCATGACCGTTAAGAATCAGTATATTTCGTTGGACAGAAATAGTAACTATCAGATTATTTTCGAACTTTTTTGTATTGTTTATATTCATTTTTACGATCGAGAGACAGAGAAAAAGAGGACTTTTCTTTGTTGTATCTATTTTTGTAGGCAGCAAATGGCACATCTCTTATAATTATGTATCAACTGATTATAAGAAATTATCTAACTGTCAATGAGCAACAGTAATGACTCAGAAAATGCTTCCATGCATAATTGCAAAGAAAATCATTAAGAAAAGATGATTGACGAATTCTTTATGGTTTCTTAATTAGTTTAGTTTATTCTATTATTTCTTGTTCGTAGCGTTAAGTCTAATGTGACAAGTCATCTTTTTTGAATATCAAAATACGCACATCGTCTGTTCCTTCGTATATAATTAACAGACATTACCTTATTTTTAATCAAACTTGTACTTAATAAAAGCTAAACCGATAAAACGAACATTCACATTAGTTAAACATCCTTAGGCGTAGAGATATCTAAGTGAGAGTGAAGTCAATAATACAGAACAATGACCGAATTTAAAATCTGTTCTAAATAATCACTATCAGAATACAAATCATATCTAATTGTGATCTAAACCAATGCAAAGGATATGAGTAGTTCTGCATTTTATAAAAAATTTTCGTAAGGTTTCGAGCAGACTGAGCTGAAATAAGTTAATTCAGTTCATGCACTTATGTTTTGAATAAAAATCAACTTTATACACTGATGTTTGCAACGATAAGTAATCATTACACTTAATTTCTCCTCTCTTTTCGTCACGATATGACTTTTTTCTTGTAGCGTATTGACCTTGACGATGTTGTATGTCTCTTGTGTGATGGTGCGGGTGCGGATATGCATGTGAGTGTCCTTTCTAGTAACACACGGCCTCAGTTACATAATATATAATCGAAGTAAGAATGGAGAAGGAATGAAAGAAAATAATCTTACGCATGCAAGAATGTCTGTATAATTGAATATAAGATGAATGAATGACTTGTGTGTGTTTCGTATATATTGCATATGAATAATGATGATAATTCATAATCTATTTTGTTGATAGCTAGCTGTATTCTAAATACAGAGTGTCCCAAAAGTCTATTCCTAAAAGTTTCTTTTTGTTTTCTTTCACTATTGATTGGACTTCATGCAGCAATTTTTTGTTTGAATAATAGATCAATAAACGGAATTTTTATTTCTAAAGACGAACTTCAAAAGCATTGTTAAAATTTAACAGCTTTAGCCAAAATACAAAAATTTAGTCTGATTTCTTTCTCAATTACTTCGAGTTGTTGAGTGATTCGAGCCTTTAAATTATCTAATACTTGAACGATATATTTTAGAGCATTTTATTTTGGTATGTCTTTACAAAAACGAAGTGAATAAAATTAAATCAAAATTCAAGCAATTAAAAAACACATTATCCTTCAGTATTTCTAAATTTTTGTATTTTGGCCAAAGGTCTTAGCTTTTAACAATACTTTTGAAGTTCATCTTTAAAAATAAAAATTCTGTGTATTGATCTATTATCCAAACAAAATGAAATTCAATCAATAGTGAAATAAAACGAAAAAACTTTTAGAAAGGGACTTCTGGGACATCCTGTAGAACGAACAGAATGGGTACACTTAAAAAATGAAGAAAAAAACTATTCATCTTTTAGCGCGCAGGATATTAACAAGTAACTAGACACTTTTGTAACGTGCGAAATATGAAAAAAAAACCAGATATTTTAGTGTGTACAATATGAAAAAAGATGTGCTTTTTGAACTTGTATAATATAGAAAAAATAATGAAAAATAGGTGTAACGCACAGCCAAGCCCTCATCCATCCACAAAAACACATAGCGGTACCTGTAGACGTACATACATCCACACGCCAACATTCACACCCAACTCTACAATGCGCACCCATGTCGACAGGCACATCGGCACTCTCACCAGCGCATACACTCACACGCTGCATACTTTTTTCTCTATCACATGTCTCATGTTAAAAAGCAACAGCAAACGAGAAGCATATTGAAAAATAAGTAGCATAAAAGTAAATCGTTACTCAATATGTCATATAGATAGAATGAGTTGGAAAATTTATTTACGTTATTTTGTTCAAACAACAAAAATTTGGAATTTTGTAACATATTAGACATTCAATTCCAATGTTGTTCGGTTTCTAAACAAAAAATACTATTTCTTACACGTTCGATGGTTAAAAAAGCATTATTATTGCTTATTTGACAAAAATTGTGCAGAACACAGCAATAAATAATATTACAAGCGGTGAGAGGTTTTTAAGAGAAGTAGCTGCGCAAGTACCACTTGCATCACCCGAACTGCAAGTAGCGTAGTTGCTTGTGCACGTAGTTGTACATGCCCGAGTATCATTACATGAAGAAAAGTTATCGAGCCAATGTACGATAGTGTACAGGAGCACGAACAAGTCACTCCGAAAGAAGTTTTCATCATCATCATAATAAGCAAGATGATTAGCATCATTGCTTTTTGATTATTCGCCGACATATTGATTATGATTTGCCACTTTATTATAGTATGTAATATTTAGCACTTGCTTTCAGGATACCATGTCAACCAATGAAAATTGCCATAGATCGTTGAGAATGAAAGAAAAATGAGCAAATAAAACAAAAACAACAAAGTCAGCAACTTTGGTAACTGACATACATATTCTCCAATTATTTTAAAGTATACTCAGTTTTTTTTTTTATATTTGCCAAAATTTTTCTTCATGATCATTCCGAAGAATCCATATAATTCTTCATGTATGTTCTTTTACATTAATGTTTAGGATACATGATAATGGTTGGTTTTTTATAAATCCTATAGTTATTGTAGTTATATTTCTTGTAATCCAATGACAATGAAATTCCATTTTCAGTTTTACAAAATTTCTTCCACATGGAAATGCGTTTCCTTCAGGCTAAAATTCATATTAGTTGGTGTGTTGAGAGAATAATTAAACGAATCAAACAAATATTCGATAATAAATATTAGAAAAAAAACACAAGAAATCATGCTTGTAAACATTATTAACAAGAACAGTTGTCATTATTTAACTAATAGAACGATTTAATGTTCCTTTGATTGAAAGCGTCAACGAATCCTCACGTTTTTATTTTCGTTTTAAAGTTTTTTTTAACAATAGGAATGCGATAGTAAAGCTCCCTATTCAAAATACATACTATTCATCATCTAAAAATCATCATCAATGATCAAACATTGTAAAAGAACTGAGGATAAATGGGTGCAAAACATGTATGCACCACATTCTCATTATTTTTTTATGATCCATTTGAAAAACTAAATCACAAAAAGTAAACTATTGTTACAGTAGATTGGAGTGATTTTAGTCATTTAACTGTTTCCAGAACAATTAATTGAAAAAGGTGAAAAATGTCTCGTCTTATTCTCAATGTGAAAAAGGGTGGGGTGTGTCGGTGTGGGTGTGCGATCTGAGCCAGTAAAAAGTAGATCTACGTCTGCATCCACACCCAATCTTCACCAAGACAAAAGCTTTTCGAAAAATATTTTTAAAAACAATTCTTAGAATTACAAGCTCTACAAACCCTGAAGGTTTCATTAAAATCGGTGAGCCCTTTAGTACAAGATGGTTGAGATCTTTTGAAATTATCCTTTTGCATTCTTACGCGATCTCTTCCAGATAAGAATCCTTGATGGATATTTCTATATTTTATTAAATAAAAAGAGGATACATTTTTCGAAAACGAATTTAATGTCATCCGTTTCGTTCTGCCATAGTCATTTGCTTATCAATAGCACCATTAATTCGGTCCAATTGTAACAATGCCATAATTACTGTAACTAAAACCGCACATCGTGTACCATCTGTTGCATGCTACTGGATCACAAAAATCATGAAGACAAGAAATTGTTGAGCCATAGAAGTTTTTAGTTTGGTATATGTTTTCTATGAAAGTATCCTTTGCTCGTATATACATATACTAAATTGTTTCGAGATTT